ATTCAAAGACCTCTGAACCTGAAAGACGTGCTATGGTTGTTTTGAAAGCTTTGGTGAAATGAGTTTTCACAACTTCCAATTTCGGAGAAACCCGTCAACTGGGAATTTACTGCTATTGAATCACGGAAGATTACCCGGTGGTTATGGTGTGTATTCAATTTAATATTTTCTTCCCCGCAGAAATTGAAATCAATGCTGATGAAGGTGGAACTTTCCCTAGGAGACAAAACGCACCTCCGGTCTGAAATAGGGACATTTGATCAATTATCCTATTTTAATGTGCACGTGATCAAATTGAAGTAGAGTGCTGGTCGGCTGGGAATATTATCATTATCATTATCATTATTGGTCTTCGAATATATGCCACATGATCTATCAGATATTTCAATGTTTCCGCTGCATACGATTCGGTTGATAGATGAAATAAAACTCCCGACTGAAAATAAAACACTTTGGTTGTTATTGCAAATTTTCACTGTTGTTCATGCCAGAGGAAACGCACTGCACCAGCGAAGTGCGGCCGTTGCCACATTCGACCAACATGGAACTAAAAAGTTCAACCATCAATAAGATATGTCACTATCATCAGGCTCCGTATGGTTCTTCTCTTTATCATTCAATCAAGCCTTTTATTTAAGTAATGATTATTTTCTGATATTACTTTGTCTTTCATAACTGCTGGTACCCATATGATGAGCACGCCAGTTTTTAACGATTTTGCGTGCTTATGTGCGTGTGTGTGTTTGATGCAAGCTATCGTGTATCCATGGGTGTGTATACTGCTATGTCCCTATCCAAAAAGCCGTATTGCAAACCAATTAACAAGATGGGGTATTGATTTTACGAATCGCTTTATTTAATTTCAAAATGAAGATACATTTGGTCAGATTGTGATACGGCCAATATCAAAAACAATCCGCACGATAGACCGACCAACTTTGAATTTAAATCCGCAAACTTGTAGAGCAAACCACTCAAGAGGCCAGGTGTTAATAAGAATTTACGAGTACAGTGTTTCACATCCGACTAAATGATTGCCGAAAATGCGGTATCTTTCACTCTGAAAAGCACGATCCAATCGATCGAGGTCGAGCCAAATCGATCTGCCCGTTCGAATTTGCAAACCGAATTGATCCAGTTGCTCCGGTCGGACTTTATAAATTGCTCAATTTGTTCCAGCCATACCGGTGATATTCGTGTGAGTGCAATCTTTTCTGTGAGCTATGTATGCAAAATAAATTGGCTATCACCAAACTCTATTTATTTTTGCATATTTAATCGCGACGTCACACTGTGAATATGTGTTTATTACGGTGGTCTATTTACACCCGATAAACCTGAGGGGAGTACGTCGCTATTCCCCCACAAAATGAAATAATCTCAGTCGAGAAACGTATAATTATTCTGACGGAAATGATCGATCAAATGTGGATAGTGAACCGTGCTCATGGACAAAGTCAACGATTTCTGGATTATGGTATCACAGTATTGGTTACTGCATGCAGGCTATTGGGAATCTCTTATGACGAGTCACATTTGCACGAAATAATCAAATTGGATTCCAATCAGAACAACTAACTACAAACTGGGATACGGTATAACAGATTTTGACACAACACTCTGTCTGACCAGCAATCTAGACGGCTCCCGCCCCCTCGAATCGATTTCGATAATTACTTTAATCTCGATTATGTTTGATTCGCTCCATGCAACGTCTGGGTATACAAACTTCTTATGAGACCCGTGAATATCACTTAAGAGCGATAGTTAATTCATTCATTGACTTGCACGACATGATACTACTGCCCATCTACCCACAATAGCTCTCAATTGGGGTTACTACTTCAGACATAAACTGGTCATTACGTAACCTTCCTCTGGCAGCGCTCTATCCAACAGGTTGTAGTGTTTGGGCAGTAAACAGCATTCTCCTGTTAAAATATGGTGTTATTTTGTGTTATTCTTGTCGGTAACCAGAGCGAAAACTGTTTCAAAGTAATTTGTTATGCCCTTCACAATATCTTTTCCCATCAAGCTCCGATCCCTTTGACATCGTTTATTCTTTTTCCGTGTAGCCTTCCTCAGACGAAAGTCGATGTTAGTTCTGTAAAATGTATACGTGCAAGCGGTATATCTAAGGTTTACTAAGAGAGGATCGATAATTAAGATGCTTTGTAGACCACACAATGTATTCTTCATTCATAGACAAATTACAGGGTCCCATGGAGTTCACTTACTTTTCTCAATGGGCTTGCAATTTTGGAACAAGGTGAATGGTCGAATCGCCAGACCTCCATCTAGTCGCCACTTTGGTTGAGTATTCAGACGGGGAGGAACCAGTTCCAGAGATGATTGAAGCCACCTGTTTGTTTGATTTCTGTCACACCTGCAACGTTCATGGGTCTTTCCGTCGATATGCGAAGGACAAACGAAATAACCAGGAAGTGGTTGATGTCTCCTGTCCCTATATTGGTGCGCAAATCAAACTGGATGCTAATTTGGATCGTGTGGTCGTGTTACATAACAGACCAGGCAACTTCACAAATTTTGTCAATGCACACAATTGGAGGATGTGGATACGGAACAAGAACTTTATGTTAGAGTTTCAGTGTGATCTTGATTTCACCAATCTCATCCTTAGTATCAAATCTAACTTATTATTGCGAGAATAAAAGTTCCTCGCTCGATCGGTCTTCCGGTGGTTGATCAGAAACTTTGAGTGTATGCAAGCACACAGAAGTGTAGCCTCTTGTTATAGGTCTAACGTGTGCTATCCTGATTGTTTTTACTTCACGTCATTTCACCACAACAGGACTAAGCTCCTCGTTGAGAGAACAGAAATGTTGGATACGGTTAAGTTTCGAATACTCTTGTTTCTTTAATAAGAAATCTATTAGAGTGGCGACAATCGTTGCACACTTTAGTTCAACTTTAAAATAAATCTTGAACAGAGTTAATTAACACAAAAACAAAAAGAGAATTTGGGTCAGCCAAGGAGTCATCCGTGCTTCCTGAAGGTCCCTCGAACTAAAGGTACAAAGGTACTCTGTAGTGAGCACACTCCGTAGAAGAGACGCTTCAACTTCTACTCAAATCTAAATTTTTCGAATGGCAATTCGTCATGGATATAGCAAATGAAGCGTGATCTGAAAGGCTAGGAAGCACCGGACAGCTGCTTCGACCTGGTTGGGTCTCATTAGCCGTGTAAATCCACCGACCCGACTGGGGAAAATGAAAAAGGATATAATCAGCTGCCCTCTGGCCGAGTGGGTAGCAGTATGCTTGTGTTCCGCGTGTGAGGTCCCGGGTACAATCCCCAGTTTGGTCGAGGGATTAGCACTGCTGATGAAACCCAGCCGGGTCGAAACAGTTGCCCAGTGCTTCCCAACCTTTCGGTTCACGCTTCATTTGCTATTTACACAACGAATTCCCATTTGAAATTTAATCAAATCCTCCATTACTCACTTGAATTCCAAATAGCAAGAGGCAGCACAATCGGATTCTCTATCCTTTAACCATAGATACACCAAGGAGCTAGATGTGCAGATTGGAGCTTGGCTGCGTAGAACGTTTTATTGATGGTATTTGATAGCCTTCTATGAATCTCAATCAATCTCTTCAAAGGTGTCGCCTTTAAAAGGAAACGAAATGTACACAGACCTTCTCTCAGCAATCACTCTCTTGTGGAAGGCCTCGTGTCTTTGCATCACAGATCTAACCAAGCGTTAAGGGAATCCGTTCTGGAGGAATATATTCCGCACAATTTGGCGTTCATCATCTAGCGTGTATTCCTTACAGTTTATTCTAGTTCTGTTGGCCAAACGAAGTAGGAGATTCTTCTTCCTATTGAGTGGTACAAAGCTACGGAAATGAATGTACTGCCCAATCCACGTCGCCTTTCGGTGTATTGACTCCTTGGTCTATCCATCAGTACCACGGGTCGAAATAGAAAATGGTCTAGTTAAAACACATATTGAGCAGTGCATACTGTACAAACGCTACGTAGACGAAAATTTGTCGATTCCACGACGAACAGAAAACTTCTACTAGATCACTTCAATACTGCGCAACAGAATTTGAATACCCGAACCTGGATGAAAGTCCTGATTTGGTGGAAGGTTTTCGGTGAAGGGTTAAATGATTGTCAACTGTGTAACCATTCTTTGCCATCGGACCAAAAATTAACTTATTGGTTATCACTGAGGACGACNACGACACGAGAACAAGCTTGAATTGGTAATTTAGTTCAGCTGCTTCGTACGTAGGTAACATGCACATGCTCGTAAACGCAGAAACCAAATTAAATGCGATTACCATAGAAAGACGTTTATGAGAAGGAAGTACAATTTGTTTCTAGCAATGACTACATCCACTCCTTTTATCCATCTGACAGCTGTAGATCTTGGTTTGTCCAAATGGTCGAATTCCCTGCTTTCCGTACAATGATAGCTTGTTACATAATTTGCTACTCGTTCAATTTCATTCCCAATCGAAATCATAGGCATACCAAATGCATGCTTCTTCTTGTTGGTGAATTAAGGTCGGGTCACATGTATGAAGATGAACTGAGTCCCTTTCTGCCTGCCTCGTTTCAAGGCGACTATTTCGACTTATGTGTTGTATTTCCTGGTAGAGTTAGATTCGCCTTTGTGATCTACAGTATTGGGTCAGTAATTCGATCGTTCAGTCCAGCTATTTAATTCGAAAAGCCATTATGCATGTAAACCCTCAGAAAGCAAAAATGAGATATGCTTGAATTGCTGGTGTGCCTAATAATTGACTATGAGTTAAGGTAATCAGTAAAAACTCTCATATAGCTTATTTGTAGATACAAATGTCGCTGATAATGGTTGCACTCAGCACATGAACTGTATCTTGCTGTGAAGTTCACCATTTTGAATTCATCAGTCCCTGTACCCATTGTGTTTCGGGAAACGTTTCAGCTTCTTCCATGTCTGCATGTGGCATGTGCTTCCTGTGCCACCTCCGATTCGGTCAAAATGTCACCTAACCGCAGGGAATGCCGACCTATCATGTGCAAGGTTTGCGAACAGATGAGTCGAAAGATTTGCAACCAAGATTTATATCGCAATCCAGATGCTGACCAAGAACTACTTGATGATCTAGAAGATCCAGCATCTCTCGATCCAACTGAATCGGATTCCGGTACTGTGTTAATCGAAACACTAGCGTCAGATAATGGTGCTTCGGTGGAATTGCCGGCTGCCGTTTTTGTGCAAAATCTACGCATGTTGGCCAAATTAATCGAAGATGAGGTAGACTTTGAATGTGACTGCTGTCGGTTTGAATCAAATCAATCTAAAGCCGGCTTTCGGTGAGTTTGCTTTCCGTTGGTTCGAGAAAATCACCCGTTAGGTTTATACTGCACTGTCTGCGTTGTCTCCCTTGTGAACTCATAGATAGTCTGATATGTTATTACATTCACTAAACTGGCAACTGCACAATC